GCCAATAAGGACTGTTGTCTTATCAAAGGTATTATAAAGGTATATCAAGGGCTCATACTCTTAGCTGCGCAACAGATTTGTAAAGATATTATGGAATTATCCGAGCAATAGCCAAGAATCCAAAGTTAACTATTATATGAAATAAAAGTCTATACATATATTACAAATCTTAAATCAATTCAAATCTTTACAACCTAAAGTCAAATAATAATCTTTATTATATTTATATATACAATTATTTTAAATGTTTAAAATCTTTAGATAAACTCTTCAGTAAGAAGCTTAAGAATATAAGTTTAAGCCAATGGGCCTAATGGCTTTTAATGAAAATAATAAATATATAAAATAAAACTATTGAAATATTTGTGCAATTAATGAATTAATAAAAAAATGAATAAAAAATAGGAAAGCGAACTAAAATAAGCAAATAAAGAAAATTAACTTAATAAAAAATGAAAACAAAACATGTTATACTAAAAAATATTTATGCTAAATAATAAAAACTAAAATGAAAAATATAAGAAAGTCCAATTAATATATTGTTTTAATTAAGAGCTTGATCACACTGACTGATTGACTAACCGACTGACTGATTTACACTCTGACTGACGGATCGACAGACTGACTTACGCTCTGACAGACTGATTGACTGACTGACTGACTCACTGACTGATTGACTATCCGACTGACTGATTGAAAGTTTGACTTACACTCTGACAGCCTGATTGACTGGCTGACTGACTGACTCACTGACTGATTGACTGACTAGCTCACTGACTGACTGATTGACTGACTGACTGACTGTATAAAAAACAATAGAAGACATACCCATATAAATGGCAGGTCGACGGTTAAAGTTCTTCAGTAATTTAAATTAATTTTAATATATTTTCATATAATTTGCAATTATTCGTAAAAATGAAATAATTTCTTACTGTTTTATATAAAAGTTTTCCAAAAACAAGTAATCCATCAAAATGATTCTATTAAAACAAAATAATTTGAGAGCAGCATTCAGCAGACGTAGAACTCAAGCAATTCATCAAAATTTAAATTAAATGAAAACAATGTTTCTCCATTTGATTGCGAAACCTATCAGGATAACAGGGATAAAGTCTACAAATGACGCCACGCAAATGGAGTTAACCCAAAGATAGGCAAACAACGGCGATTGTGACGACAGACGGAGACGAAGCCCCAAAACCAAATACTAAGACAAAACACAAACAACCGCAAACCAACAACAATTTATTATTTTGCCATTTCTCAGCTTCACGTTCTCAAATTCCCATTCTCAGTTGCTCAAGCTAGTCAGAAAAGCCGACAGCAAGTGCCAATATGCAAGTTTGCTTTTACGAACTTAAATAAATAATGAAATTGGTTGGCAAAGTGTGCCAAGACGCTGTGCCTTCAACGGCTGCTGTGGTCAACAGTTACACACATAAGTATCCATACATATGCAGATGAAATAGGCTAGGTTACGTTGCGGCTGACAAGCAAATCTATCTAGATTTTCCCCGCCCCTCCCCAAGCAAGAGATAAGAGAGATAAGGCCGGGGTAAAGTATTAGGCTAACCGACTCGAGCATTCATCAGTCATTTGTATGCGCTGGGACTGGAAGGGGGCGGGGCTTAAGCACATCCCCAAAGGGTCAACCGAGACTCGCAAAAGCTTCAAATCTGAAATTTCTCAATCATATTTATGTGACGTGTAACGAGGGGCGGCATTGGGCAGAGTCAGGAGTTAGAGCTAGAGTTGAGTGCGTGTGGGCTTCTCCTTAGTCAGACGACTTTACCCATCTGTCGGTTAACAACATTTTCGTATCGCTTTTTTATCTTCCTGGCGATAACTTGGCGATAAGATCATACATTAACATCAACATTTTCTTACTATCTTAAATGTATCTGCCAGGCGATACAATTACAATTACAAACGGTACTTCTATACTTCTATGAAAGCATATCCCTAGGCGCAGCAAGTGGCCTGTCTTTTTCCCTTGGAAGAGACGAATGCGATAGAATCGCGATATGAAAACCGACCGTGCATGTTTTTGCCTCGTCTCCTGTCCGACACGAGTCCAACTCTCATAGGAAATGCAGCAAACGCACGCCCTCTACCATTAAAACTTAGGCCGCTTAGGCCCTACTGGCCCTGGTCGACCTTTTTATGGCGTGAACTTAATAAAATATGAAAAACCTTGCAGAACAGCAGCGGAAAAAGCAGCAGTCGAAGAGAGAGAGAGAGAGAGAGAAAAAATCATACAGCAACGCCAGGCACTTGGCAAGTTTATGGAAGAGCTTAGCAAACAAAATTATATTCAATTTCCTTTAATGGCTACCATAAAATAGCAGTCAGCAAAAGTAAAGCCAGAAAAATCCACCCAAAAAAAATAAAGAAGCAAATGAAGGCGTTGCGGCGCAAACTTGCGAGAAATTCCAGATATGCCCCGCTCAATTTCCTACTTCTTTTTTTTCGGGTAGGTAAGCAAATTGTTTGAAGTATTGTTAGTACTTCACATCGGCTTATGTTTAGATGTATGTTTATAGCCAGGGAATCGGCTTTGGGCCATAAGCTCAATTAGCCATTAGCACCGACAGGCTAATGAAAAGGCAACCCATATTAAATATATATAATTTAACATGGTGTTAAGTGCCACCCCACAAAAGATTTGCATATAGAACCAAAGCCGCTAAACTAGTTCAAAGTGCCAGTTCCAGCTGTGTGTGTAATGTGAGTAAATTAATATGCCATTTGCCTGTCAGATTTTATTGTGTGCATCAGATTATTATTAATTAAGGGCCATTGATCAACACCCAAACAGACTGGTTAGTGTTTTACCGATGCCGGAAAGCCAACATTTGTGAGCATTTGCAATTCGAACCAGTTCGCTGCGCTTAAAATCATGTTAAATGGGATGTCAATAGCGCAGTTTGTTGTATTTTATGTGCAGTTTCGATTTGAGGGACGAATAAAAAAAATATATTCATAATGCAATTGCTTTCTTATTTTTAATTATTTGTGCCTAACAAAAAGTCATTAGCTTGGGATTGATTCATTAGCTAAATATTCAAACCAGTTCAAGTCAAGAACTCCAACTATTATTCTTAAATTGGAAAAAGAAAAGTTTTGTCACAAAGATATAATTGTTATGTTGTTATATTTAAATTGGATAAATATAACGAACCAAACTGTGGATCTATTGATATAGCAAACCAGTCTCATTAGTTCAAACTGTGAATCGAACCAGCGACAATTTTACCTGGACTTGCATTAGATTTGACCTACGACATCTTAAAATGAATTTCCTATAAAAAAAAGGCACAAATAGTTAAACTACATTCCATTTACGCATATTCTGCGTCATGGTAACAAGTTTTCAAAGCCAATGCTTTTGTTATTATTTTAAGACTGTTTTGTTATTATATTAATTCTTTAGTCTCTTGTTCGGGTCTCTTTTTGGGATATTTTTAACTTAACCACAATAGCTTTTAAATAGCCCCCAATGGATTGCTCAGTTGCTGTCCTTGGTGAGTAGTTATTAAAGTGACCCAGTCATCAAACTCTAATAAAAAGCAAGGTTTCAGGCTGAAGCCCTGACTAGAAAGAAAGTCCAATGCTTTTTATTATTTTCAGCATTCACATTTGGGGCATTAAAAAATGCTATTTCCTTTTCCATGCTCTCAATCCATCGCTCGTTTTCATAAAAAGGCTGCCATTGACCTGCTAAGCCATAAAATCAATCAAAGAAAACTAATTTAATTTGAGAAACTATCTTGGGAGTAGTTTTTTTTTATTAAGTTAAATAATGCATATGATATTGATATGGTTTTTCATTATATAATTTAATATTGTAAATGATCCTTTTATAGCTTTTACAATATTCCTTTAACATATCCCAAGTATTTTCAATCTATAAAGAATAAGTCTCAAGTAACGAGTTCTAAAGCTAAATGGAAACTGAAAGCTGTAAAAGAAGGGAAAGAATGAAAGCGCATAAAATAACTTTTCGTTTATTTATATTTGAAGAACATTAGAGGGATTGCATTAATCTAATTCTTTTATCATTTTTTCTAAAATTTATTTATAAATTATTTTGTGTCTTTCAACCTGTTTTATTTTTTTCCATTTTTCTTTATGGGCTCCCGGAGCCACAAATACGCAGCTGCTTTGCTTTGTGAATTGACCAGAAAATGTTTTAAAAGTTGCGATGCACTTAAAAATATTAAGTTTCGTTTGTGTATTTTATTTTCATATTCGAGTAAAAATGCTGTACGAATTTTTGAATTTGATTTTATATTAGTAAATGTTAAATCTAATTGAAGAAAAGTTAAAGACCATTATTGCACACATTTTAATCCGAACCAAATAAAGTCACATATCATAATTTCCGCAACAGCTGCCAAGCAACGCCAATAAAGTTATTCCATAAAAAAAATAACATAGCCTATCAGATAAATCGGCACTTCAACTGTCAATTTAGCGGCAGCAATTTATGCGTCCAGAGTTGTCACACACGCACACACATTTACAAGTAGAATTCTGGGGTTTCTTTCTATGTCATTGACTAGCACAATGCGAGCCAAAGGCAAACAGTTAATACATCAAATTCGAGCGTCTTGACGGCGACAGCTTTTTTTTTTGGTATGGTGACTGAGGTTGGGGCTGGCAACCAAAGCCAGGGCCATTGACAAGCCGTTTGACATGAAATGAATTGTGAAATTAAACAGACGACAGAAAATGACAAAAGCTATTGAAGGGGCTGTCACAGACGCACAGACAAAAGGATGCTTTGCCCGAGTCGAGTCCTGTGGCTACAAATTGTTAAATGATTTCGATGTGCGCTTAGGGCTGCCAGGGTTGCCAGAAGCCAATAAGCGTGCCACCTAAATGTCAACAGCCAAGGACAACAAATCACATGGCAACTTGTTCTGTGTCAACAACTGAGAGCTTTGTTTAAAATGTACTTTTTAGGGCTTTTTCTTTTGGCCCAGTGCACTTACCCGCTTTAAATTGGACCTAAAATTGAAGCATAAAGAGTTGCCTGTCAATTAGCTGATTGCACACAAAACAAATGCATAGAACTAATCACGCGCGCGCTTTTATCAACCACGAGTCAGAAGCCACAAGCACTCGCACACACAATCAAAAATCGCGCTGCCTAAAAGCAGACAACCCTTTTTGTACTTTTTAATTTTTTTTTGTTTTTTCCTTTTATAGCCCACGCGGCGCAATCAATTTTTGGCAAACGTGTTTACAGTTAGTTTTGCGCTAAAAATTGTTTTTGCTGCGCGCCTTTTTTATGTTCAATTGCAATTCAAAATGCCGTTAAATAGAGAACACAGCGAACGCGACAACGCGCAACTCGTTTGGGAGCAGCACCGTCTGTTTGGCCAGCCGACGACGTACTGAAGCGCATTGGTGTGCAGCAGGCGCTTAAGAACGGCACCAGCCGCATGCGTTCCACACGCACGCGAATGCGTTCCACATGCACATGCGCAAGCGCCGTGCGCCGTGTGGATGCCATTTAGAAAGCGCTTCGTTTTTTTTCTTGCTGCTTCTAATTCTTGATTCCTTGAATGGGCAAACACTAAAAAACAACATTGTTGCCAAATGAGATTTGATTTTCGATGCTTCATCGCGCTACGGTCTTTCAATTATGCACACCACAGCTGTGGCAAACGGGGCTGCGGGCGGCTTGTATTGTCACCCGTTCCTGACATGTTGCATGCGTCTTAAGCTGATAGCTCCTGTTGGTTCGTACGAGTTGTTCTTTTGTCCATTTCCAGTACAGGGATTTAGTTGCAGGCAAATAACGTAAACAAAGTGCTATTAGCTGCAGGTTGCAGATGTGCCTGCCACACAAATTTGCTGTGTCAGCGTGTGTGTGTGTGTGTGTGTGTGTGTGTGTGTGACAACAAAAGAGGAAGCGAAAATACGATTTCAATGTGGTGCGAACACAAATGGAAGTTGCACTAGCTAGACTTGAAGTTACGATCGTTAGTTGTACTAATCCTGCAACTCCTACTTTAAGAGTTTTACTTGTTTGTGGTCTTTAAGACCTAGTTTTATTTCTTCACTACAGTTAATCTACTGGAGTTAACAAAAACAAAAGTGTTAATTTAATTTTCTTGAATTTTCCAGCCTCATTTCTATTGATTATATATAATGTAACTTTTCGAAAATAACAATATTAATTAATTTATAACTTAATTATTATATTATTATATTAATTCAACATAAGTGAAAACAATTGAAAACTCCGTCTGAAATATGTATCTGAATTTCTGCGCTATCCAGTTAGTTTAAATATCTTCAGATTGTATCTAAAATGTCTAGCACCTGCTTCAATTTTATGATAAACCAAGTGTTTTGCTGCACACACCTTGCCTGCGACTGCCCCCACCGATCCCTTGCCCCATCAACCGTGCCCCTTGGCAATTTCAAGAGCTGCATAAAATGCGTGCACAGTTGGCGCACGGGCTGCCTAAATGCAATTTCAATGCCCCCACCACGAGCAGGCATCAGAACCCAAAGCAGTCTATGTAAATATATATAAATATATATATGGAATATATATAGTGTGTATAAGTAAGTGTAGATTGGCAACCGTGCGGCAGTAATAGCCAACGGAAGTAATTGAATTTTGTGCAAACGAGTTAAAGGACGATTGCCGGCGCAATCGCAGCGCTCAATTTATTTTGCAACATTGTTGTTGGGCAAACGGATTTAACGGCTAACCGGGCTAACCAGGCTAACCAAAGCTGCTTAAAGCGCTGCTCGGTCAGATCCTTGGACGGCAACTTGTCAAACGCGTCTCAGCCATAAATCGCCTGCTGCCCAATTGTCATGCTCAGTCAAGGAACTGCTCAAGCGCCGCTAATTGCCCGCCAGGACACACACGCACAGACACGCACACTCACACACAGACACAGATAAGCCATCCTGGCTATTGATGACACTATCACTATCTACACAATGCCCATTTGATGCCTGTTTTCGTAAGCTGCTTTATGCCGCCTACTTCTACTCCCTCCAAACAGGTGGCCACAACAACAACAACAATTTGGGGCTTTGGCCTGCCAGCAGCTCCACATATTAATGAGCTTCGGCTTTCACCGAACTCATAAATCAGGGCCAAAGAAATCAAGCACAGACTTGGCCACATCAATGCTTATGTTAACGATATTTGCAGATTAAATGTGTTTATGTCTGACATTGATATCGAAATGTAAATGCTTATGATTTTTGAGTGAGTTTTGAAGAATTTTACAGATATATTTGAACTTCAAGAATTTTACAGATAGACATATCCCTAATATAATAGGTTAAGCCTTACCCTTCGCATACACTTCAACAATTGTCTAAGAATTGATTAACTTGAAATTATTGATATTTTATTTTAATTCCTGATCTGGGTTTTTGATCTATTGCAATTAGCTAAGATCGTTTTTTAAGCAAAAGGTTCAAAGCTTTGGGTGTGATTTATTTGTTATTTTTTTTTTTTTTAACTTAACTTTCACTCTTTTTACCTTATTCCCAGTCAATTACAAATTATTCTGTTACAGTAATCTACGTTAATGCAAAATTCAAAATTTACAAAATAATATAAGTGACGGATAGTTTAAGAAAATAGACAGGTATAAGAAGTCCTTGTAAGCATAACAACCTAATCCTTATTTATTGGAAGTTTTATTTGCACGATTGTCTTTAAGAGTTTTTTCATTCCGACTTTATAATAAGTGTGAATTAATATGTTTACACATCTAGAATTTCAAATCTTTTGGATATTCTTGGTTGGTTCCAGTGTTTTTTAACGGTAAGCGCTTCCCTAAACGTAAGGACTCTAGACTGAAATACTTTATATATGTCTATTAATGCATATATCTATTATCAGAGACTGAAAAGTTTATTAACTATCTGAATAAAAGCTTAATTTCAGCTTGCAAAAAACTAAAGTTTGAACTTTTAATTTAACTTGCTCGAGAAACACATGTCTCAGGCACATTTCAATGCCAGTTTTAAATCTGAACAATAGCCCAGCAATCACAATAGGCTTTAAATACTGTGACACGTTCCAAATGAATTGCCCTGAAATCAAGCAGCGAGGCTCCTTTTCCTGACACATGACTTTATAGCGCCTTTTGGACACGCGCCATTGGCTCTGAAATTCTATCTCCATGTAGTCTCCATCTGGTTTTTTATACACATACATATATTTCCCTAACTGGTGGCATAGCTCTACACATGTCCATTGAGCTGACAATTACAACACATGTTTTTTCGTGTCCTTTTATAGATACATACCTCTTTTTTTTGCATACCGTCCATTGAGATCCTTGTTAATCGCAGCCGCGTGACAAAATGTTTTCTAAATTAGCCGAGGCCAGCCCCGCGGCAATGGAACCAATCACGGGCTTCATTTAAAGTTCTGCCAAATGTAATCACATTCGGCTCTCACTCGTTATATAACGATAATAAACCCATTCTTAATTGCACACACATAACGCGTTTAAGTTTTTAGATTAACGTTAAGCCGCTGGCTAATTTTTGAGGTTAACTCGGCGCGTCATGCAGGTGTGTTCCGCTAACCAGAAACGCCAATTCGTAAACAGTTTTTAAGGGCGGAAATATGATAATTGAACAAATGATTAATTTAAAAAACTAAAACTAAAACGCTTTCGTTTCCTATGAATTGTGGACTTCAATCTTCAGAGTTTCTAGCTTTATTTTTTGATAAATCTTTGGCTTAACTTACCAAGAAATCCAGCTAAAACGGAAAGCTAGAGAATCTCGTATTTAAATCCTTTAAGCAACATTCTACTTAAGACTTTTATATATAATAATTTACAATAACATAATAATAAACAGTATCACAAAAATAAAGCTCATTCCTAACATAATAAAGGTTCTGTTATTAGGTTAAGAATGAGTTTTTACTTTTTTATTTGAATTATTTAACGATTTTAACATACCTAAAAAGTCTAAGGACTCTAAGTCTTGTCAGCAGCTCAAATTTATGCATTTGCCTCGAAAGCGTTTTCCAACCCTAATTACTCAGCTTAAAGCAAACCGTTTTTCCAACACTTAAAATTAACATTGCTTATTTTTGGAATAAATGCGTGTGTTTCTGGCCCCTTGTTGCCCCTATCCCATGGCAAGCCGTGTCGCGTTCATCGGGCTCGCGACTAACATGACCCTAACGGCACTTGCACGCCATTTTGTATGCGGTCGCACGAGCTTTGAGCATGTTTAAACATGATTAATTCGTGTTGATAAACAGTTATTTTAATTAATCGCCAGGTGTCGTTCGCCGTCGAGGTGGCCGCCGTTTTAGGCTGCGTTTCGCGTGATATTTGTGCCATACTTTTTATAATTTTGTTGGTCATCGCAGCTTAACAACATTTAAATTTAAATCAACTCTTTATTTGGCACTCTGCATGCGACAGTAGCTAACTAATTGCAATCACATTTAGTCGAGCTGCATAAATTCCAGTCGCTGGGCAAATGCCGAACACCATTTATCAAGCAAAGAAACCCTGGACCAGGTACCAGGGGCCGGGTACCAAGGACCAGGTGAAGGTAATCAAGAGCCAAGCGAACTTTATCTGAAATTAAAAATCGCTTTTACATAAATTTTGTCAGCACTTTGCCAATATGCGAATATCTATGTATATATATATGTGTGTGTGTGTGTGTGTGTGTGAGTGTGTGTGTAGGGTATGTATGTATGTGAATGGCCTGGCCAATTGGACTGTAACTTTGAGTAGTGTGTGTCAATGGGCGAAAGTCTGTGCAGGCAACAACAAAAAGTTGACCATAATTAAAAGCTGCTAACAACTTTCCGCACAAAATGTTAACATGTTTGAAAATGTTAGTTTCGCTCAAAAGCAGGAAAATAAAAGCAAATAGAGTGCCCAAAACACAAAAATAAACTAAATAGATTCAGTTCTTTGAATAGATTTCACAGGGTTCAACTTTTGCAGCCTTTGTCCGAGTTGATTAAACCTAAACTTAATTAGCTAAAGGGCATTTGGCCTGTATTGACGGTCCAGCTAAATATATTATGGATTATATTATACTTTATTTATACGTATATTTTATATATTATTATTATATATAACAAACTTAAGTCATTTGTCAATATTTTGTATAAGAAAAAAACAATAGCTTAATGTTAAAGTTCACATTTCAATTACAATTCTCATCAAGTTTTAGTTCCAAAACATTTTACTTGCGTCACCCTGTTATGGTGGCGCCATCTACGGCTCGTAGCTGCAACGTACGCTTTTCTTAACTTTTGCCTTAAGCACAGACACAAACCAGTGCTGTAAAGTGCACTTCACATTGAAATTCAATTGCGTGCGCCTTCTCTCTTGTATTTAAATTTAGATAGCTAATTGGATACTAAATAGATTTAAGGAATAATTAACAAATATACTTTAAATTAATAATAATTAATTCTTAAATTCTTAGACGTCCAAAAAAGAAATGCGAACCCATTTAAGCTACATAATAAAAACACATTCTTGTAATTTATTGTGCAAAAGTTAAAAGTACTTAATCATACATTTCTACATAAAACAGAATAGATACTTATTAAAAGCTCTTGTTATAAAATTATATATATTTATATATATAAAATGCTTCAAAGTAACAAATTTTGTATAAAAACGAGTGAAAACTCAATATAAAAAGTTCCTATCAAGTGTGCACAAAATCGCATATCAAAAGCTGCTCTATAAAAAATGAAAATAAAAGCATACCATATACGAAATGAAATAGTACATATAGTATATATATATATATACTGAATAAATCTTTAGCGATCACATTACTGGCACTTGTTACGTTGAAGCAAATTTTCTTTCATTTTCGTTTTTGTTTTTTGTATTTTTTTTAAAGCATTTTCATGGTTTATTACACTCAGATTATTTACGGTTTGTTTTTTTTTTTTTGGGGGGGGGGGAGGGTGTTAAGTATATGGATCGGAGCAAGCATCTACTTGGGACCCAGATGCAGCTTGCCAAGGATCTGTGTGGCCTGCTGGCCAGCGGTATCCTGTGCATGAGTGGCCGCCTCATGTATGTTCTTCTCGAGTCCTTCGCGCTTCTGGTCCACATACTGATTGGCCTCGTGCAACTTCTGGTCCACCGTCTGGCTGGTCTGTTTCATGGCGCCATCGATGGCGCCCTCGGCCTGCTTAAGCTTCTGATCGGCAACAGATTCGGCTGCCTTGACGCTCTTGTTGATCGCCTCATTGGCGGCCTTTTTGGTCTGGTCGACGGCAGTGGCAGCGGCACGCTGGGAGGCCTCCGCCACATTGGCGGCCACCTGCTTGGAGTTTTGCACGGCGGCGGTGGCCTGGCCGACAGTATGGTCCACAGCCTGTTTGGTTTGATTGACAGCGCCGGCGGCGCGATTGACGCCCTGATCAATCACCTGGCCAGCCTTCTGTGCCTCGGCAGCGGCCAGAGCGGCAGCATCCTTGGCTGAAAATTATGGGGCATTAAAAGGAATGTCCTGCTGCTGAATCTATCAAATTATAGTTACCTGTGCTGGCAGCCAGTTGCTCGGCTTCGCTCTTGGTCTGCTGCACGGACTGTCCCACCTTCTTGGCCTGCTCCTCGGCTAGTTTCTGCGCCTCGACAGCCTTGTCGCTGGCCAACTTCTCAGCCTCATCCTTCTTCTTGCTGAACAAGTTGACGGTCTTGTCGCCAAAGCTCTTCAGGGAGGCTGTCGAAATAGCAAAACAAGAAAAAATGTTAATAACCAAATGTTTAAACTAAACTTTCCTTACTTTTCTGCTGTTGACGGCTGGGATTCATTTTCGCTAAGGCTTTAAAAGTCAACTAAATCCTCAACCAGTCAACGATCATAATTTATAGACTAAATTGTAATCAGTTAAGCTTTGCTTATCGATGAAAATTGTGAAAAGTGCTCAGACTTTGCTAATTGCCGAAACATAAACAAAATGCATGACCCGGCGTGAAATTTCATCGAGCATGAACTAATCAGATCGTAATTACATGCCATGCCTGATTTTCACTTTGATTACATGCCAGGGGTGACAGTTGACACTCGGGCAGCTGCTGCGCAATTCGCGGCGTATAATTTGGAGGCGACAACAACAAATTTAAAACGCTTCAAATACTACAATATAAAACAAAACACGTAAAGGTGATCTAACCTCGAGTGCTCGACTAGCATATACCCTATAGCATGCAATTAAAAACAAATTTGTTGTATTTTTTATGAAGGGTTTTGTGCGTGATTAAAATAAAATTAATCATCAAATACTTTGGACCAGCTACCTACCAAATTTCATAAATGTAACTCTTATAAACTCAGAGTTCTTTGAGGTTGGACCTGCATAATTGAATAATTAGGGCACACTCGTACTGCATTTGGCATATATCACAATTAAGAAGCATCATACTAGATTTTAGATATCCAGCTCATTTAGATGCTGACTTCCCTGAGTTGGGGTAGAATAATTGCAAAATTTAAAATATACTCGAACCCTGTAAATTGACGCTCACCTACTGAATTTCATAGCGGCAGCTCGTGCAGTCTCTGAGTTCGATGAGGTCACGCAAATGAACAGACTTAGAAACTGGACTAAGAAACATGACTATAAAAGCTGATCCTATTGCTGACTAATATAAGTACATATATATATATATCTTTTAGCACGCACACACTGCTCTCTCTGATTGTTGCTATTATTTTTTTTTTTTGCTAGCCATCGTGTACAGGGTATACAGAAAATAATAATTATAATTTATAAGAAATTAAGAACGTCGGCAGCACTGTCCCTGCTGAAAACTGCTCAGCTACTGCATTCCCATAAAATGACGTGTGCGCTCACTCAAATAGAAACATTGTGCCATTAAAAGCCGCAACGGCAATCCGCTCGATCCGGCAATTTTCGAGCTATAGCACTATTCTAAATGGCATACCAAAAGCATGTAAATGTGTGTGTGTGTGTATGTGTGTTTATATGTTGCCTCTGTGCATATAAAGTAAACAATGCGCAAATATTTGAATAATTTACAGTATGTGATGTCATAATGGCAGCTCACGGTATTTTATTTTAATAGTTTTTCAGCTCTTATTCACGCTTTCTTGTTGTGCGGCTGTGAAAGAAAAGTGTTTATATACAGAAACTAATGGCGTTTTCAAATTTAAAACCAACATAAAATCATAATACCAAAAATGCTACAAAAACTCAAATGCCTAAGTTTGTTCCTTTCTTTTTTTTCCTACATAATTTACTTTTAGAAAAAATTTTAATTAGCATTTTGATTAGCCCACGCGTCGATGTGTGCGCAAAAACTGGAAGAATTCTTTCGAAACGCAAAAAGTGATAATCGAAACCGGAATGTGTTAACAAATGATAAACGCATGCTGGGATAGCTTTGGAGAATAGACAGAGTTGCATTTGTGTGGCTATTTCGAAAGCTGTTTGCTATAAAACTCGAGACAGAGATGTCAAATATATAATATATTAATTTTTCGGTGTACGTTTGTTTTATTAAACCTATCCCCAAGTGAAATGAAAACTAAACTATTGCTCAGTCAAGAAGACACTTTTATATATTCATTGAGAGAACTTATCTATCTGTTTATAAAGATAAAACTAGGAATAGAAATGAAATATAAATATAATAAAGAAAGTTCTAGCAAGCCCAAAAAATCACAAATGTATTGTTTGGTAAACATTAAAAAGCTAAGCTATATTTGCATTTCAAAACACAAGCCGATTTTACTCACAAATTAAAATTTGTAAATAAACAAAACAAAAACAAAACAAAACAAATTTGCATTTAGCATGCACTTAAATAAAAATAGAATAGAAACCATGTGGCGAACAGCTAGAAAGAAAACTTAGTCCCATTAAAATACCAAATACAATACTCATGCTCAAATATCAGAAAGAATCAAGTGCTTTCTTGCCATTTGCGCAATAGAACGACGCAGATTGTCAGATATGCTCGCATGCTGTGGTCAATAATAAAACAAAAACAACAACAACAACAGCAAAAACAAAAAGAAAAACCGGCTAGAATGCCATAACATGGCCATAAAGTAACACAATAAGCCACAGTCCAGAGCAGAGTCGCAACGCTGAGAAACGCCGAGACTCACAGCTGTTGTTGATGTTGTTTTTCTACTACTTCTCACATAGTAGTCCCAGATAATGCGCAGAAGCGCTTAACACAAACAACAACAAAAAATAAAACAAAAACATAACAAAAAAAAAATTAAATAAATAAAACCTGTACTCAAGACCAACTGAACTCAAGCGCAACAAACGGGTACGAGCCACAGATACAGATACAGATACAGATACATTTGTATCTAAAGCGCCATATGTATAGGTTTTTTGTCGCTCTATGAGTAACCGCCAGTTCAGGTCACAAACTCACGTTCCACACACAGGTTTTCGAGACCCTAAAAACGCCGGTCCCAACACTCATTTGTAACTCATTGCCTATAGCTATGAATCGATGAACCGCTTTTCTGATGCTGCTCTGCTGATGATGATGTCATTGGCAAACTAAATGTATCTATAGAGCGGGCACATGGCTGGCACTGAGAATCGTGCTGAGAGAAATTCGCACGCCCAGTAATTTGTTTAGCTCTAAGTTAACTCATTGTCGAAGGTCAATACCAGACTAACAACTTGGCAACGGGCCCAACTCTGTGTGTCCTGTAAAGGGCACAGCTGGAACTGCTGCATGATGTCATATGCGCCCGAAAAGGTAAATCAATAAATGTATTTACAACTCCGACCAAGGGCAAGGCTTCAGATACAGCTAATTACTCAATAATAAAAAATACTTCTATGAAAGTTAGAGAACATGTCTTCAGATTGAACATGCAGAAAAAAAAGGTATTCTTATTCTAGATAGCATATTTATTAAAAGTTAGGAAAGAAAATGTTTGAAGTATTTAATATAATAAAACAGAATTCATTTCAATCTTATCTAAGCTTAAATAGAGTTTGATATATTGTGTAAATAATGTATATTATACATCAATTTAGCTATTTGTATAAAAATTGGATTGGTTGTAAATGTAGGAAATATTACTGTCTTTCATGCACATTTTCTTGTAATTTCTTCAATAATTCAATTTTCTTAATATTTTCAAAATATCGAAATACATAAGCTAAATAAAATTCAATTTGTAAAAACTACTTTATTTGAAAGAAGTAAAAAAAAAAAGCCTCTGCAATTCATGTAAATTATATCAAGAATGAGTTGATAGCTCTTATTTTCTTTGGTCTAGCTATTCATGTGCTCAATTAAATGCGTAACCCCGAACCTGACCCACAAACCTAGCCGAGCGATTCCGGTCTGAGTGTCCAAATTGGATGACAGCAGCGTCTCAAGTCTTCCGGAATGCCCGCCCAAGTCAGGCTGGCGACAGCTAATTGAATTAGTTGACCACTGGGCACGGTCGGGCGGAACCGGTGATAAAGGCATGCAATGATCATTGATTGCGAGCCATGGCAAATGGAATTGGGATTGCATGGTAGGGGAGGATATAAGTACAGGAGGGAACAGCGCCAGAGCACACAATGGTGCATTGGTAAGGAGAGATGAAGCACATCATAATTGCGATCATTGCCGTGCTGAGTATCCTGCACAGGGATCAGCTGCTGGCCACGGCCAAGGGCTGTCCGCGTCGCTATCTGAGACGCATCAATGGCAAGTGCTACTATTTCTCAGTGAAAAAGGTAAGCGTATCCTGCCGTGCAGAATCCCCTGCTCATCGCTGCCCTGCTCACTAATCGCAGATGAACTGGTATGGTGCTCTCAACAATTGCCTGCGCAAGGGCCTGACGTTGGCCGATTTGAGCAATGCACGAGATTTTAATGGCGCCGTCGAGTTTCTCAGCTCCAAGGGCAACACGGAGGACTTTTGGTTTGGAGCCAATGATCTGCAAACGGAGGGACGCTTTCAGTACATCAGCAATGGCCGCCTGGTGCGATACTTTAGCAATTATAGCATTGTGGAGCCGGCAGAGCATTCCGAGTGCGATGACTGCCTGGAGGTGCGCATACGCAACAACTTGACTGTTGTGGCCGATGACAATTGCCTGGAGCGGCAGTATTTCATCTGCTCGGAGCGGTACTGTGATGTCGCCGCCAGTAAGCCTCGTCATCACAGTCACGAGCATCTGCATCACTTCCATCACGACATCGGCGAGGCTAGCGAAGCAGAGGGCGAAAAGGAACTTAATAATCAATCGCCAGAGAAAATTGAGGAGCAGCAGACCGATAACAACGAATCAGAGGAGGCAGCCAATGCGGAAACACCGGATAATGATGATGATGAAAGAGCATTGGCTATTGAGGGAGGGAAAGGCACAACACCAACAGCTGAGGAAGGAGAAACGCCAGCTGCCGGCGCAGCCCCACCTGCTGAAGGAGGAGTAACGCCAGCTGCAGGCGCAGCCCCATCAGCCAAAGGAGAAAAAACGCCAGCTCCAGGCGCTGCACCACCAGTTGTGGGAGGAGAGCCAGCACCTGCCGCGGGTGCAGCTCCACCAGCCGAAGGAGGAGAAACGCCAGCTGCGGGCGCAGCACCACCAGCCGAGGGTGCAGCTCCACCAGCTGAAGGAGGAGAAGCAGCACCTGCCGAGGGCGCAGCTCCACCAGCTGAGGGAGGAGAAGCAGCACCTGCCGATGGTGCGGCTTCACCAGCTGAGGGAGGAGAAGCAGCACCTGCCGAGGGTGCAGCTCCGCCAGCTGAGGGAGGAGAAGCAGCACCTGCCTAGGCATAGGATTTGATCAAGTAGACGCATTTGAAAGAAACAAGTTTAACGTGTAAAAAATAATAAACTAAATAAATACAATAAGCAAATAAAATTTCGGGAACAGGGCCAAAGGTATTACAGAGATTAACAGTTCCGATTCGGGCGCAACTAAGGTCTCTTAGTTGACAATAGTTGTCTTCGATCCATAACAGCAGAGTCTCTGCTAAGACTTAAGCACATGGAACGCTTTCATAGGTCTGCCAGACATTTCAGAAGAAATTTCCCAACTGTTAACTTCGTTATATATCAGAATCAGAAACTTTGTCTTGGTTAAGAAACTCAGCCATACAGCTGTATAGAGTTGCCAAATCAAAGAGGTGGTAATCGGCCAGATAAGTCGAAGATCCCATAAAAAGACAGTAAATATTCACTGCATCAAGACAGCGATCTATCTAGAGTAGACTGTACTATAATATTGAAAAAGGTGACAGCTATACAGAGTTGCCAGACCTTATGAGGCACAACATGAAGTTATTCTCAAGTTTCAATAGAAAGACAAAGACTTAGTTGCAGCAAGTCTCTATAGGAAAATATAATTTGTATTATATGTCTAAGAGTCTTAGCTAAAATAAATATAAATATAATATAAGAAACTAATGCAATATTTGGCAGCATAATAGGGTTGCCAGATCATAAAAATGACCGTTATAAAATTACTTCAAAGCTGTAGTAAAAGGAATTCGAAACTAAGCTGCAAAATGTCCCTGTAGAATCAAAAAATTGTCTTATGAGGCAGCCAAGGGTGTGTATTTTCGTGAAATGGCCAAACATTTGGAAGTCTTAGCTGAATAAAGTATCTTTTAGAAACAATATATTGAATAGGCTGGCCAATTTCTACATTTGTCTGACCTTCGAAAAGCAGATCTGTCGGTTTCTGGTGAAACTGTCTACGCTTGAACATTTTTTTGGAGTATTATTTTACCGACCCACCAACCCGCTAAGATGCATGACTTGAAAGCAACTAATTTAATTTAATTGATTTGTTCAATGCTGAGCAATCGTACCACTAAAAATTGCATATATTTATGTCTAGATAGTATAATGGGCGTATATAATGATGGTTGTCATGCCCTCAAGAGTGTATATATAGAAGAAACATGCAAATTGTGCACAGTTTGTGCAGCGAGGCGCCTGCAGCCATGAGGTTACTAGAAATTGTGATATTGACCTTAATCGTAGTATATCCAGATGAGGGGCTCTCAGCCAAGCGACCCAACAAGGCATCCAAGAAACCAGACATTAATGGTCCTTGCGGCAAGCGGTATTTGCGTCAGATTAACGGTAAATGCTATTATTTTGCAGGCAAAAAGGTTTGTACTCGGAAAAACTTGTACTACACGAAAGTTCAGTTCAACTAAATGGTTGAATTCTAAATTTCAGATGAACTGGTTCGGGGCACAGAACAATTGCCTGCGCAAGAACCTCAATCTTGCCGATCTGGCCACAAGAGAGGAATACAATGGCATCGTATATTATCTGAGAGCGCGCGGCAACATGGAGGACTTTTGGTTCGGTGGCAATGACCTGCAGACGGAGGGTCGTTTCACCTACATTAGCACTGGTCGACCGGTACGCTATTTCGGAGGTCTCAAAGGCATTGAGGCCACGTTTCGCGCAAATTTGGATGATTGCCTGGAGATAAGGCTGAGGCAGAATACCACCGGCATTACCGATGACAATTGCCAGGAGAAACAATATTTTATATGCCAGACGAATGCTGTCAAGTGTGCTCAGCCAGTGGAAGGTGGAGCAAACGATACGCAACATAGCCACGAGCATTTGCATCACTTCCATCATGATACGGAAAAAGGCAAGGAAGACAGGGATGGCTCGGAAAATAGAGATAATGAACAGAGAGATGTGGAAAGCGATTCGCGGCCGGCTGATAATTCGAATTCAACGGAAGTTAGGGAACTACCAGCCGAAGCATCGGGTGAAAACACATCGGCGAATGGGGAGGAGAATACACCAATGGCAGAGGAGAGTTTAGGCACAACAATTGTTCCACCAGCTAATGGTGGAGAAGGTACGTTACCAGCTCCAGAGGGAACAGCAACAGCAAATGGAACGGAAACTTCTGCACCGGCTAAAGCTGAAGGAGAAACTCCAGTGCCACCTGCAGAAGGAGCAGAAACTCCAGTGCCACCTGCAGCAGGAGCAGAAACTCCAGCGCCACCTGCAGAAGGCGCAGAAGCTGCAGCACCACCTGCAGAAGGGGCAGAAACTCCAGCGGCACCTACAGGAGAAGGCGCAGGAGCAGAGCCAGCACCAGCTGGCAGCGGAGAAGCGGCAGCACCTGAAAAGCCACCTGAAGATCAAGCAGAGACTCCAGCACCAGAAAATCCCGATAATCCAGCCGGCCGTGCTCCTAAAACAACACCTGTAGAAATAACAACAACAACTGCGAGCTACGAGAAACCGGATGAAGCTCACGGCAAAACTGATTTGGCAACGAAGAACCTGGATGAAGAGCTAATTTCGACAGTGCCAGTGCCAGTGCCAGTGCCAGTGCCTGACGAGACAACGTCGGCTCATTGATGGAATATCGGTGGCACCTGTAATCGGCGCTCAACAAGCACCTGAAATAACCCCCAATCCAAATGCGTTTGTAAAAATCGAATTTCCAATGCACAAATAAAACGCCAGAGATCTCGCCTGGCCTCTATATAAATAAGTCAATTTTATAATGTCCAATTTCTATGGTTAGGGGGATGGGACGTTGGGTGCTGGAGATGGTGTTCGGGCATAAGGAAATGTTCTGTCTATTGAGCTACTGATAATGTGAATGCATGCTATTTATAGTGCGAACAAAAATCTACACTCAGAAAAAGATTGGGGCTTTTCACACAAAAAGAGAATATTTTCACAAAAAAAATTTATATATTTAATATTTTGTAAAATATTTTCTTTTTTTCTTAATTACAATTTATTCGAATAGTATTATTTAATCAATGCGAAAAAATGTTCGAAATTTAATTGTTTAATTTTTTGGAATTTTTTGGTTTTTTTTTCTATTGTGCACAATTTTTTGTTGAGTGTTACTCTGATAACTATTGATATTTCTACTAGATTTGCAAAATATATATAGTTTATTTTGCTTATACATTTACATAGACAACGGATTTTACTTACATTTGGAAGCATCTGTTTGCATTAAGTGGAAACAGAGAATTATAATTAAAGTATATTTCATCATAGTCTAAAGAAATTACTACGAAATACTTTGTGCCAATTGCTTAAGTTGTTTTCGATTTATCCCAAAAGCAGGAAAACGAGAAAACTGACAGTGAAGAATTTTTCAGTTAACGGAAATAGAGTCATTTATTTTTGGGTCGGTGTGCGTGCGTGTATGTGTGTGTGTAGGTGTGTGTGTGTATGCGAGTGTGGGTCCATTGTACGCACTCTAAAATACATCAAAGAACCAATTTTGAAATCTTTGAAACAAAAAGAACACAAATATTCGCACAATATGACAAAAAAAAAGAAAATAAATATATATATATATATAAAAGTATCAAATAAGTATAGATTTTATATATATATATATTTATGCACACACGCCAGCCAATATAATTACACATATATACATAAGTTTATATGTATCGCATCGTTGTGGGTGTGGGTTGGGCCAGCGAGAAGAACAACTTATAGTTCAGAGACGTGTCTGTATATAGTATAGAGAGAGGCGAATACTGCGCCATAATTGGCTTACGCTGACGTATCATCATCGTCATCATCATCATTATCATGATCATGATCATCAACGAGTTCTATAAGTAATCGTAACTGTAGCAGACAGTTAATTGTGTCTGCTTATTCCGACTACTCAACTCCATTTTCTCATTTCTCATTTTTATTTTCATTTAGCTTGTGACGATGATGTAATTCTATTATAGTCCTGCAATGCGGTCATAGGTTGTACGAACCCAACAGCAAGGTCTCGCACTTTAGTTATTTTTCTATTTTTATTTTTTTTTTCTATTATTTATTTCGATTTTTGTTGCTGTTCGAAATGTCATGCCACATACCACATGCCACACGCTGCATATTTAATTGGACAATACAATACATGGAAATGTCTCTTAATTTTCTAATTCAAAAACTTTCACAACAGCTTGAACTGCGTTTTGCTTTTTTTGCACTTGTTTTTTACCTGTCAACGAGCTGAACATGTTGAAAAATTTGATTTTGGTTTGTTTTTTTTTTTTTTAATAGAATTTGGAACTGTTAACGTTCAATTTGAATTTGAATTAAGAGTCTGCTTTGGATTTATTTGTAGTCGGCTAATTTTGTACGTAGCGCGTTTATTTTTAAAACGTTCCGACTGCGTTGACGGCACAAAAAGGAATAAAGTCCAAACGAAAGTATCTTGTTGGAAATGTTGTTGTTCGCGATTGTTGTTGTTGTTGTTTTTATTTAGCTACTGATTCTTGTGGAACCTGTTAACTGCACTCATTCCGCTGTGCTTCGTTCGCATGTAGATGATATCAGTGTTGCCAGATGCGCTGATTTTGTTAGCTGCTAAGCGCTGCCAGATAAGCATTAACAAAAATGTTATTGGCAGTTAACAGTTTTCTGTTAGCGAATCTTAAACTTTTTCGCTTTAAGTTAGCTCAGGTTAACAGTCTCAACTAACATTTTTGTGTTAACGGACATTCAAATTACTTAAATTAAATATATATTACTGTGAACTGTGAATAAAAGCGTAACGAATACGTTGTATTGCTTTAGTTGTATATTGTTGTAGTATTCGAATTCGGGACGCAGCGTAAGCTACATTCAATATGAAACTGCAGCTAATAAAAGACATTTGCATTTTAGTTTATCTTGCAAATATTTATCAAATCGAAGGCAAAGGCAATTGCTACTATTTTAGTGATCAAAAGGTGGGTACACCTATTAAATGATTATAATTTGTATTCCCATGAAAGAATATCAACTTCCAGTTAAGTTGGACTAAAGCCTTAAAGGCTTGTGAAGACAACAACCTATGCCTGGCCAGCTTCGACAGTGCAGAGGCCTTTAACCATTTGCGAAATCAACCTGATGAACTTAAGGTTGACTATTGGTTTGGCTTAAATGGACGTGAGAGGAATACGTTCAAATACATCGCCACATATGAGTTAATCAAGTACTTGCCACCCGGTAGCGAGTTGGAGATAGATAAACCCTGCGCCTTCGTAAAACTACTCGACAACAAGAAATACACAATCCGGTCGAGTAATTGCATTATTAAAAAAAAGTTCGTGTGCTTCGATTCGGTCAGATGCAAGGGCATAATTGCTAATAAGGAAACCGGTTATCTTACGGAAGTTACTTGTAAAAACTAAACGCAAAATAAATAAATATTGTACATATATGCTACGGACCATATCGAATTCATTTTGAACCAAATTTAAATTTGATTTGCCGCCGTTTATATAATCCTTTGCTCTAAGTTACTATAAAATAAAATCAAATTTTCTCGACCGAAACATACCGTACTCCAAACACCATGAAACTACAACTGTTGGCATTATTATTGTATTTGAGCCATATGTGCGAGGGACAAACAGCAGGATCCTGTCACTATTTCAGCGAGACTAAGGTACAGCCTAAAGTCTAATTCCTATTTTTCTAATAGTTAAATTTTTACCATGCAGATGGATTGGTTTGAAGCATTATTCACATGCCAGCGAAAGCAAATGTGTTTGGCCAACATTAAAACACAGCGTTCGTTTGAGGAATTTGAAATAAAACTAAAAGCAAGTTATCGGGATGAGTATTGGTTTGGCCTAAATGGCTATGAGAAGTATGCATTCAAATATGTTTCAGATGGCGCACCGCTGGGCTATATGCCACCGGCAGCGATGATACATTTAGATAAGCCGTGTGCTTTCGTCAAACCCCTTGATAAAACACATTTCACCTTTGAAACGGGCAATTGTGGACGACCCAGACGATTCATATGCACCGCAGAACCCAGGTGCAACGGCAAGGATACAAATAGCACATTTTTTCCATCCCTTTCGGCCGCACTGCCATGTGAAATCAAAAAAGAAATCTTAGAAAAGCTTGGTATAAAGCCCGTTGACAATGAGGATTAAAGAATAGAAAAAGCTCAACAAAATTCACCTATTATTGAGCTAAGCAAAATGTTTACAAATTCTAAATTGCTGTGAAAATTGAAATTCATATTCACGAACATGTGAGCTAATGTCGGAAGGCCTCCACTTGAGCCAAATAAAATAACAATTTTAAAGAAATTATCCTTGGCTTCATTTTTCTATTGCAAGTGTATATAGTGGAAGTATATTTTACAGGCGTTAACAGAAAGCCGCATAACATCTCCTGTGATTTGCATTTCTATTTATTGAAAATGAACTTTGAAATTTAATCTGTTAACAACAAACGAAACACATTTGCAGATTTGAGCAGCCACGAATCATGTAAACAAATCTCTGCTAACTTTAAAAGCTTTGGCGTTGCCAGATGCTTAAGTAAATTTTTGAAAATGTCTGAACTCGTCCGTTTAAAAAATCTTCGATTGGGCCCTAATTGGCCAACAATTAAAATGTAAACGGAATATTTAAAAGTACATATGCCCAAATGTAATATCCAGTTAATAATTATAATTATTTGTTAAGGGAATTCTTTTTCCCTAATTATTTACTAAGTTATTCCTAACTACTTCACACAATAATCTTTGCGTTGTTGTCGAATGACCGCATTTAGTTTGAGGCACTGCTGCCGCAGCTGATCATTGTCGCCCTTGAGCACCTCAATGGTCTCCTCCTGTCGCTGTATGGTCTGATGCACCCTATTAGAATATATATATATGTATAAGATTAGCTATAGAGCGATCTGATGATATATATTTATTTACCGTTTCTGCAGTTGATCCATTTCCTGTTTGTGGCGTTCATTGAGCACGCCCAGCTCACTTTGTATATCCGCATTGAGATTATCGCGTAGCTTGTCGCGCTCGTTGATGAAGTCGCCGCACATCTTTTTGCTATGGCTAAGCTCCAGCTGCAGCTGCTTGACCTCCGCCTGGCAGTTGCGCACCTGGGCGTCCGCCTCGGCCAGTTTGCCACGTGTCTCTGCATACTTTTCGCGCAGCGACTTTTCCACATTTTCCGCCAGTTGCAAATCCTTTTCATACTTTTCCTTGAGACGCCTACGGATTGTGTATGCATTCAACAAAGGCCTATCCAAGCTCTTGACTTTATACTTACAGCAACTTTTGCTCGTGCTCTTCGCCGCTTTGCAGTGCATCCGCCTCCATGCGCACCACCAGCTCGTCCAGCTGGCGATCTCGTTCGGCTCGATAGTGCTGCCTGATGGCATTCTCCTTTTCCGCCTGCGCCAGCTTGCACTTGTTCTCGTATTCCGTTTTCCAGAGCTCAAAGTCCGCCAGATATTGCTGCTCGACCGTGTTGATGCGATTCTGATATTTCTCCTCCTGCTTGGCCATCTTCTCCTGCATTTCGAACTTGGCCTGCTCAAGTTCGCTCTCCTGTTCCCGCTGCACCTCCTGTCGCTTGGCCAGGTAGTCGGACTCCTTTTGCCGCAGCTCCGCTTGCAGACGTTCACGTTCTGCGGCAAAATCATCGGCGAGCTTCTGCCGCAGCTCGGCCTGCGTTTTCTGTTCCTCCTCCAGCTGACGCTCGAGACGCTCACGGATGGCGGTGCGTTCCTTTTCAATAATGCTCTCACGATCCTGTGCACAACTCTCTCGTATGCTATGCTCGATTTGCTCGTGCTTGAGACGTGCCTCCTCCAGAGCGTCTAACAGTTGCATCTGATGCGCACGCTTCAGTTCGGTCACCTCGCGCTGATGATCACAGTTCATTTTGTTGATCTCCGCCTCAAGACCTTTCACTGTGAGCTCCTGTTTTCGAAGAAAAAAGTAGTAAATAGGAAAATGTGGGGGTAACTTTTTATTTCGCATTTCTTCAAGTGGAAATGTCAGCGATTCCCCTTTTCCTCTTTTCCTCTTTACTATGAACTTAAACTTGAAACGAACGAAGAGGCTTCGGTTCAAAGAAGAAGGTTCACCAAGAACCAAATATGATTATCAGCCCATAGATAGGAATCTTCCATATAGACATATTATTACTAACTTAGAACTTGAACCTTGAACTAGGTTCATATACCAAACCCTAAGATGATTTAGCTCGAACCACGCACACTTTCGTTTTAGGATTTACAGCCAAAGAAATGCATTTTCCTCCTAACCTAGAACCGAGCCTTAGGTAGATGCGTGGAGGCAGAATCAGATTTAGAAATCGAACATATAGAATAGGAATCTGATCGATCTGTTCTTTGGACTTCCAGCTTATCAGTTATTCCCTAGATAGGCGTCTTCACCCACCTTAATCTTCTTGGTATTCTCGCGCACCCAGCGCTCCCGGCGTATTTTCTCGCCCGCCAATGTTGTCTCCTTGGCGCGGGTCAATTCCGTTTCCAGTCGGTGCTCCCAGGCCTGATTCTGGCTCTCCAGGCGACGCGTCAATGCGGCCACCTTCTCGCAGAGCGAACCCTTATCCTTGAGCAGCTGCTCGATGAAGCCTTGATGACGCGTCACAACCTCTTCGTAGTGCTTCTTTTGTTCACGTATTTTCGCAGCACTGTTGGACTTCTCGGCGCGCACCGATTTCTGTTTCTCGGTGCGCAGCTGGAGCACATGCTCCTTGGACAGATGAATGGCATTGGCCAGCTCGTTGGCTCGTAGGCTGAGCGCAATCACGCGACGTGCCAACTGATGATTGGGAAGCATCAGCAGCTCCGAGAGCCTGACAAAAAATAGTTCACCCTAAAGTAGACAAGAGTCTTTAACCAAATGGAACTACAACTCACTTGGGCACCTCATCGGTCACATCGGGTTCCACGACAAACTCCACTTCGGAGCGATTGCTGTCCGGCATGGAGCGACGAGTTTCCATCAGCGTTTTGTCGCAGCTGCTCTCCACATTATTGAGATAAGCCAAAATGTCTCTGGAAGGCATATGAGGTGTATTTTAGTTTTTTATAAATATGAAATGGCGAAGAGACAAAGAGATTTATTTAGCGTTAAGCCGAAAGATTGTTGATTAGATGACTTTTGACCAGATCTCAGATTCTATTGGAGCTACAAACTCAAATTGAATAGGCACGTTCTCTATGGCATACAAATAATATATTTAACGATTTGAATAACTCACGCCGAAATTTTCAACAATAAGGAAGCTAAGATGCTTGTAACGACAGATCGATACTGAATACAGGGTATCTTCTAGTGTGTCGTTCTTATGTTTTTTTGTTTTCATACATAATTTCCCCCGTATTCTAGCACTCACTTGTATTTGTCGCCACTTTCGGGCATTTTGTCTCCGTTTTGGCTAACCGTATCGGCTGTCTCTGCGCGTGAATCCAGTTTTAGGTTCAACTCGCTGGGCAAACGTTCCGCAAAGTTGTCTGAAAAATGTTTGTCTATAGATAATATAGTAGTTGAATTAGGGGCAACAATGCTGCAAGATTACCTCGCTTCTTATCCTCCTCAATCTCCTTGATGACGGACACAATCTCATCGTAGGTGGAGCCTCTGGAATCGTCATTCGACTTGAGCGACAGCTGTGAGGCGCTATCATTGTCATTGTCATTGGCCTCGTCCAGCTCATCTAGGCCCTGTTTATGCAGTTCTTCAAACTGTGCCAGCGCCTGCTTCTGCTCCTGCATGCTCATCCAGCTGTCCACCTTGTCCAAATTGTATTCACTCAGCCTTCGCTCCTCCCGCAGGCTGCCCACGCTGACGGCTTTCTTTAGCTTGCCGCCGGTGCTCAAGCTGATCGTTGTGCTTTTGGCTAGAAATTTGGACTTGTTGTTGTTATGGTTGTTTCTGGTGCTTGGCTCCGCACTGGCGGGTTTCACGTTCTCCTTCTTCTTGCCCACAAATGGAGGCGTGGCAGCGATTTTTAAATAATTGCTAATAACGGAATCGGCGCTGCTGTTGCCCAAATGCCGTCGATCCTCCTGGACAATGGGCAGAAAATTGTTCTCGGCACCGAAATTGCGCTGTCCGGCCGGGCGATATGAGGCGCCACTGTTAACTTGACCATGGTTGTTGTTGCCATTGCTGCTGTTGCCATTGGCTGCGCTGAGATTCTTCTCGGAGAGATTGTTCTGCTTGTCCTTGACCTGTGCCGCATACTTGTCCATATAATTGGGCAGCTCAATGTTGTTCATGGGCTCCAGAGGCTTGCTGCTTTTTTCCAGTGACACGCCCACCGCCTGCTTATACTCCCTGATGACATTTAGCTCCGGCGTGGCTGACTTGGGAATAGGCAGTGGTGGTGGCAGCGACAGCGGCAGCTGGCTTTTAGTCTCCGCATAGCGACAACTAGGCGCATCGCAGGCGCATTTGGCATCCGCGGCAGCCTCGTTGGTGCTGGCCGTGGAGGAGGAGCGCGTACTGCAGGTGCAATTCTCCGATGGGCACTTGGGATACTCGTAGGTCTCGGCCAGCACTTCTGCGCTCCCGCTGCCCGAAGCCGGCGCGCCAAAGTGAACGGACTTCTTCTGGCCGCTGACATCGCTGGGCTCCAGCTTGTGGCCACTGTTGTTGTTGTTGCTGTTGTTGCTGTTGTTGCTGCTGTTGTTGTGGGTATTGTTGTTGTAGTTGAAGCTGGGCAGTGTCAAGGGACCCGGCGCCGAGATGCTGCTGCTGCTGCCGGCGCGCACCAACACCTCCTGCTTATCGTTGTCACAATCGCTGGAGTCCACATCGTTCTGCTGGCTGTTAGGCTTGCTGAAGGATACGCGACCCGGCAGATCCGGCTTGGCAGTCTTCTGCAGGAGCGCAGCATTACTCAGTCCCTGGCTGGTTGACCAGTTGGAAGCATAGGATTTGGCTTTCTCAGCGCCCGGCATGCTGACCAGAAACCGTTCCAGCTGCTCGCCCTCACTGCTGTGTGGAGATTTCTGCGAGAAATCCGACTGATCGTCGGTGGAAGAGTTGCAGGCGCTGCGGCACAACCAACTGCGCTTGATCGGCTCCTCCAGCAGCGATTTTAGAAGATCCGTGGAAGAGACTTGACGCTGTAAACAAAGTATTTGAATACCCTCAAATGACAATATTTTGCTAATTTGTGATGGTCTGTGCTTAAAATTAAACTTAATTTAATTCTTCAAA